ATAACGAAATATCAAAGGCTCATTATAATTAATAAAAGTCATTATAATTAATAAAAAAGTTAATTATGTGCAATGTTTTACAATTATTTAATTATTTTTATACCTAAAGATTTGCACAAGTCAGTATTCCATATTACATCTGTGTTTTCTTCAGAATTATTGGCGGTGTACATATAGATGGATATGTTGCAGATGTTAGTGTGGCACATTGTAAACTGGAATGCTGTGAGCTGCTAAAATGCGACAGTTGCGAAGCCATAGCTTTCTTGCGCTTTAGAATAGGTTGGAAATTTGATGATGTTCTGCAGAAATATAATTCATCTTAAACATAAAATTTATGTAAAATAGATCTTTCAAATTTATTGTAAAACCAATGCAAAATGCAAGAATAAATGTTATAGTTATCATTTATATAATGATTTAATTACTGTCTAGGTTGAATATGATCAGTCAGAAACATTAGATCTTTGTATAATGTCCAATTAGTCCAATTAGATGTATATGGCACATGATCTGCACCTGCGCCAGATCTTGCCTGCGACTGTATTGACTTTCCTGCACTCTTTTTCGAATTTTTGACGTAAACGATAAAATGTTTTTTCTGCATCAATTCCTGCAAATACACAGTACATAGTATTGAAAATGAAACCTTATCCAAAATATCTAACCTCACTTTTTCACGTTATTCACTTACCAGTCATTGGCGGTGTCAAGGATGCACCAATATTGTTCCATATTTGCATCTTCATGCTTTTGTTATTGTATCCTTTGTGTTTCTTCTGGTACAAAATTAAATTTAGTTGCACTAAATTAATTAACGTCTTCCATACTAGGATTTGAGCTTCTGATGCATTACCATAATTATCATCGTCAAAAGCACTATCCAACATCTCGTTTTCATAATTCATCATTATACTAAATTCTTTATTTTATTAATACTAAAAATATTTTATTAATGTAATCTATATTTTCATATTGCATCAGTGTAGTTCACGTTCCCGCAAACTCAAATCTCGCACACAATTTCCCTCTTGTGCTCTAATTGGAGCCTTACGCCGAGCGTAAGAAAATAAGGAATAAGGAAAGAATAAGGAATAAAGGTTCGTCTACATTAGCTGTAAAGGCTCGTCTACATTAGCTGTAAGAGTAAGGCTGTAAGGTTGCAAGACACGAAATGAAATATTTTCATTCGCTGACAGCTTACGTTACAGCCTTACAGACTTACTCTTACAGCTATTGTAGACGAGCCTTAAGAGTAAGGCTGTAAAGTTGTAAAACACGAAATGAAATATTTTCATTCGCTGACAGCTTACGTTACAGCCTTACAGCCTTACTCTTACAACTAATGTAGACGAGCCTTAAGAAGTAAAGGTCATTCTACAATACGTGTCGTAAGTTGTAAGCCGTAAGAATTGACGAATCACAGTCGATTATTACAAGAAAAATCGGCTATAATTGGTCAGTTCTTACGGCTTACAACTTACGACACGTATTGTAGAATGACCTTTAGACGAAATGGAAATAATTTATTTCACTTACTCCTTTAGGCTAATATTACATTTGTCGTACGACAATCTTTTCGAATACGTTGATTGGTTAACAAATAGAATATTTCTAGGATTGCTTCGCGTACGCCAATCAATGTATCCGAAAAGCTTGTCGTACGACACATGTAATATTAGGTTTAGGCCTGATCTACAATACGTGTCGTAAGTTGTAAGCCGTAAGAATTGGCGAATCACAGTCAATTATTACAAAAATAATCAGCTATAATTGGTCAGTTCTTACGGCTTACAGCTTACAACATCTATTGTAGACCAGGCCTTACTCTAGTTTCTTACGTTGCTCTTACTTCTTAATTTAGGCTTACTCCATGTAATGTAGACGGGCTAACTTCTTATTGTAGATCTTATACTCTAGTTCCTACGTCAGTCAACGATTACAAAAAGTAAAAAGAAAAACAGGGACAACGTGTATACAGTTCCACGATCAAAAATATATGTAGTTACGAGAATCACATCCAAGCTTGATGTGGTTCTCTTTTTCTTCTTCTAAATTATGACCTAGAGAATTAACTCTTTTGGCCAGTCATAAGGCGATGTCTTCTTCTTCTTCTTCACAATTGTCCCAGAACTGGATATTCCATTAGCCAGTTTTGTTGGAGAGATTTCTTATTTTAAGGTCTGCATAACGCATAATACACAACGCATAAGAGAATCAACCAATCAGAGTTCTTCATTTCTATCCTGAGGAGGGAATTGAAGAAAACTAATTGGTTTATTCTCTTATGCGTTATGTATTATGCGTTATGCAAAAGCCTGTGCTCTTGCCTTATATCTTTTTTTGCTGTTAAGAAATTTTTCCAAAATAAAAAATGCTCTGGTGTTAATTGAGAAGACAATGTTTGTGATGTTATTAGAAGAGTGGATGCCAACTATGAAAAGTTCAAGCCGCAACTTATCACTGGCGGCATTGGCTGCGTTCAGAAGAACAAAATGATCTGTGAGCGCTTAGTAATTCTCGCTCCTGATTGGTAAATACTTCTGGGTCTATAAAGAATCTAAAAGAATGCTCCAGTCACAGACAATAATCACTAAGCGCTCACTGATCACTTTGTCTAGAGCAGAGCTCGGCAAAATATGCACGCGACGGCCGATTTTCGACTATCTCCGCCCACCGCTATTCCCTTTACCTCGCCGCTCCGCGCGCTGCTTACAAGCCGCTCGAACCTCAGGAGCGTGTTTCCAATAGTTTTCCACGTCACCCATGAGGTACTATTGTTGACGCGTTTTTTTTTAAGTGATATCCCCAGTAGGCTTCTTCATTTTTCAAAAATGAAGTTTATAAAAAATGAGAAGTGTTCTTCTTTAAGCGACGATTCCTTACCACGTCTTATGCGGCTCGCTACATGCAATATCCAAATTGACGTTTCCACTCTTACCAATGAAAGATGCCGAAAATCGAATTGAATATTCTTCATTTAACATATTTTATTTAGCTTCTGTTCAATTAGTTACGGGTTGTTACAGTCATCAGTGGATTACTGGGCTTACTGGGCTTACTGGGGATACCACTTAAAAAAAAAACGCGTTAACAATAGTACTTCATGGGTGACGTGGAAAACTGTTAGAAACACGCTCCTGAGGCTCGAACGGCTTGTTGGCAGCGCGCGGAACGGCGAGGTAAAGGGAATAGCGGTGGGCGGAGATAGTCGAAAATCGGCCGTCGCGTGCACATTTTGCCGAGCTCTGGTCTAGAGACTCTTCAATCAGAGACTAGGCCTGTTCGTTTTGTCTGCATTGCTGAACTGATGCATTAAGTTAAAGTGAAACAAAAGTAGGTTTTCTCACTTCCACTTGTTGCACCAGTTCAGCAGTGCAGACAAAACAGGCCTACTGGCCATCAGAAAATTTCATCAAAATCCTGCGAGTGAGAGAGAAATATAGACTATCTCTCTCTTCCGCGAATGTCTATACCATAGACGTATAATAAATAGACCGCGCGTTTAGCGGAGGGGGCGTTCTATATTCGAAAGAGACAACATGCTTTCGTTGAGCAATCTATCGCTTTCTAACGATGCGTGGTGGAGGTAAAGCAATCTTCTGTGACATTGGAAACAGAAGTAGGAGAATATAGAGAAAGGGGAATTGTGAAAGGCAAAGAGAAGAAAATACGTCTGATATAAATACACGAATATGGAAAAATGACGATTTTGTATGGAAAAATGATGAATATGGACATATGATGATGGGTATTACATAGCGGTGGAAAATAATCTGTCACTTTTATATGCATTACTGCGGCATATACAACAATATAGACTCATTGTGTTACGATTATACTTCTTGTGTTATGATTATACTATTATGAATAAATATGTTTTATAATCTTTAATGTCAATCGTCTTATTTACATACGCTTTGTTTCACGAAAAGAAGGAGAACTGGAGACATAACACTCCACTCTAAACAAGCGGAGGGGCCAAATACCCCACCACGCATCGTTAGAAAGAGACAGACTGCTCTACGAAAGCATGCTACCTCTTTCTAATAATGAACATGTGCAGACAATGGAAACGTTGCGAATGCGCGGTCTATATATTATATGTCTATGGTCTATACATATATGTATCTTAACCTCAGTAGGTTATGGATCAGTGTAATAAATTGTTAAATACATATTAAATAAATATTGAAAATGGGTGGATGTTCCGCCGAATTTTGTAATAATTCTTCGTTCAAAGGATGTATAATGAAAGTGTTCCCGAGAAATACCGAACGTCGGACGATATGGACGAAGAATATTCAGCGTAAAAATTGGATGCCTACAAATAACTCATATCTTTGTGAGGTGAGATTAAGTTTCATATTCTAAATCAATAATGTATGGTGTTCTTTTTAGCTGTACTATTGAACTGGTTCAATAAGTGAGACAAATATATAATTGAAGTAAGACAAATATGTTTTCTTGCTTCAACTTACTGCATCAGTTCAATGATGCAGCTGACAAGAATAGGTCATTAGATTTTGAATCTTATATATTTATAATAAAACTATTTATACACCAATTATGTGGTTTAATAAAATTTTTTTTTATTTTTTATGCAGGTACATTTCGCTCCTGACATGTGGCAACAAAGATCAGACGGAAAAAAAATTAAAGAAAGATGCAGTTCCTACCATACTCGGTTTCTTTCTTAAAAAGAAAAATGTAGTGAATAATAACGTTTCTAATAATCTGTCAATGAAGGACAATAGAAATCAAAATGTGGAATATAAAGCAAGTCAACAATGTAGTGCTACATTGGAAAATTCTTTTATGTAAAATGTTTTTCAGATAATGAATTCTGTGGAATTTTCATTATTGACAGAAAAGAATGACGCTATGGATTGTAATAGTCTAGATGTAGGATGTGAGGACGAGGCGGGTAAGATGCTCGAACGCATCATTGCCGATCGCCTCGTCCAACACCTGTCCTCGGAGGGGCCGGATCTCCGCGACCGTCAATACGGCTTCAGGCCCGGAAGGTCCACACTGGACGCCGTCCAGTACCTCCGGGACCTTTCAACTAGCAATAATCGCACCTCGGTAGAACCTCATTGGTTACGATATCGCCACTGCGCAAAGCTAGTACCTCCGGGACCTGACCGGGAGTGTGGAGAGAGGGGGCAGGGTGTTGTTGGCGGTGTCGCTAGACATCAAGAACGCCTTTAACACCCTGCCCTGGCGGAAATCGGACGGGCCCTCGAACACCACGGGGTGCCCGTCTATCTCCGGCGCATATTAGCGGCGTACTTCGAGGACAGGGACCTCGCCTTCCCGAAGGAGGGCGGGATCGAAGGCCGACGCGCGATGGAGTGCGGTGTTCCGCAGGGATCGGTTCTCGGTCCCCTGCTGTGGAACATCGCGTTCGACCGGATGCTACGAACTCCACTCCCCCCGGGCTGCCACGTCGTTTGCTAGGCGGACGACACTTTAGTGGTGGCCGGGAGGAGAAGCTGGGGGGAAGCCCGCCTCCGTGCGGAAACGGTGGTGGCATCGGTGGTGAGAACCATCGCGGACCTGGGCCTCAGGGTGGCGTCCCAGAAGACTAAAGCCGTGTTTTTTCACGACGGCAGTCAAGGGGCGCCTCCCGAGACACAGGTCCTGGTCGATGGCGTCCGCATCCGCGTCGGGCCGACGATCAAGTATCTCGGCTTGACGTTGGACAGCCGTTGGAGTTTTGGCCCGCACTTTAGGGAACTGGCCCCCAGGATGTGCGGAGCCGGTCTGATAGTGGCCAGTCTTCTGCGCAACCTTGGGGGTCCAGGATGGAGGGCTCGCCGCCTGTACGTGAGTGCGGTGCTCTCGATTGCTCTGTACGGGGCGCCCATATGGACGCCCCAGCTCGGCGCCTGCCGCGAAGGCATACGCCGAATGCGGAGGGCGCTGAGGCCCATGTACATTAAGGCGATCAGGGGGTACCGCACAATATCGTACATAGCGGCGACCACCTTGGCCGGTTTCCCTCCCATGGAGCTCATCGCCGAGGAGGGGCGGATCCTATATTGGAGGGTCAAGGAGCTCCGCGAGGAGGGGGAACTAACAGCCGGGGAATTGCGGGCCTTGAAAATTCAAGCCGTGGCCCGTACCCTGGAAATGTGGGGGAACAAATTGTCCGACCCACGGAGGTACGGGCGCGAGACGGCGGAGGCTGTCCGCCCCTGCCTGCCAGAGTTAGCGGGCAGGAGGGGATGCGGACTGTCCTACCATCTGGTGCAGGTACTGACGGGCCATGGTTGCTTCGGCAAGTACCTGCACCGGATTGGGAAGGAGCTCACCACCAGATGCCACCACTGCCCCGTGTTAATGGACACGGCGCTCCACACGTTGGCCGCTTAACTGGCCTGGAGTGAGGAGCGCCGTGGCCTGGCCGGGGCCATGGGATGTCAGGGTGAGGACATCTCGCTCCCACGCTTGGTTCAATCCATGTGCGAGAGCGAGGAAGGTTGGGAAGCGGCGGCCTTCTTCTGTAAAGACGTTATGTCCAAGAAGGAGGTCGCCGAGAGGGAATGCCGACCACATTCCCCCGTGGCAGAAGGCGACGGAGTGGTCGGCGTCCTAGGGGGGGGAGGCTTAGGCAGCGGGCCCGAAGTGACATCGGCCGAGGAAGAGGAAGGACCCCTGAGTAGCAGGGGTCCAAGCCCTCCTCGGCCGCCTCGGGCCCGCCTCCGTCGGCAGGGGGGATCCGGCTCTTCATAGAAGATGGATCCCCCACTGCCGCGGACATGCAGGGACAGGGGGGAATGGTGTCCCGTTTGGGGACGGGCCCACTCCCCCAGAAATCCTCCCTGCCTAATGGGGTGGGGGTAAGGGGTGAGGGCGGATGCCCCCTCCCCCTATAGGTGAGAAGGCCAACCGGTCGGTCTTAGACCGATCGGGACCGCGCCCTGGATTCCCTTTGCGGAACAGGGCGCGGTATCAAGTGGCGTGGGGCTTCTGAGAGGGAGCCCTGGAGCCGGGGTGTCGGAGAGGGAATGCGGGAGCAGTTCCCCTGACTCCCCACATTACCGGTCCGACAGGTAGGCATCCCGCAGGGGTTTTAGTCGGTAAGAGTCCGACATAACCCCCGGCCTCCCCAAGGGCCGGGGGTATCCATGACGGATTTCCCCTGCGTTACCAAAAAAAAAAAGATGTAGGATGTGAGGTAAATCTTCAACTGGCCTCGGCGAACTCGCCCCGATTATGAGGGTCCTCGATCGGGTCGGGGAGGTGGTGCGACGGTGCCGATCTGTCGTGGTTGCCGGGGACTTTAACGCCCACTCCACAGGGTGGGGGTATAGTCTCTGGCAGGAGGACCCTCGGGGCGGAGCCGTGGCCGACTGGGCGGTGGAACTCGACCTCCTATTAATGAATAGGGGATCGACCAGCACCTGCGTGCGCCTGAGGGCGAGTCAGTCATTGACTGGACGTAGGCTTCTCTCTCGGCCGCCCGGATGTTCCGGGAGTAGGATGTGGAGGTGGAGGGAGAGACGCTTTCAGACCATCGTTATATAATGTGGTCCTTCCGCCTCTCCACCCCCCAGCAGATGCTGGACCGCTGCCAAGGGGAGGGAAATCTTCCCCTCCCCAGAAGAAGGGTCCTTAATCAACTAGATGCGGACAAGTTCCAGGCGGCCACCCTCGTGGCCACCTGGCATCTAGATAAAGGGCCAGGTGCGTGGGACCCCAGCCCCCAGAAGAGGGCGAGGGAGCTGGTGCGCATCGTGGTGTCGGTTTGCGACGCCGCGATGCCCCGGTCCCACCTCCGCCGGCACCGGATCACTTACTGGTGGACGGAGGCCATTGCTGATCTTCGCGAAGCCAGAAAGGCATATACCTGGGCCCGGAGACGGTGGAGAAACCGCGAGGGAGAAATAAAGCTACCTCCAGGCGAGGGCAGCCCTCAAGGCTATCATAGGTGAGGCTAAGAAGAGAACCTGGGAGCAACTGGTAAGCTCACTGGATGAGGATCGTAGGGGCGCCCGTATAAACGGACGGTTGGTAAAATCCATCCGTGAGCGCCCCCGCTTACGGAATCCTTAGAGCCCCAGGTCCTCGATGGGCTCCTCGACATCCTCTTCCCGAGGGTGGAGGAGGGGCCCTCACAGATCCCCGTCACTGAGTTAGGGGACGGGGACGAACGAGAACCTGGAGGTCACTCCGGAGGACCTCACCGAGGCCAGGAGACGGCTCGGGGCCAAGGGCGAAGACCCTGGCCCCGACGAAATTCCTGGTCGCGCCTGAGCTCTCGCCCTCGGCGAAGGGAGCTTGTCCCACGCGGGAAGTCATGAACGGGTGCCTCAGGGAAGGGGTCTTCCCCCCAGAGTAGAGGAAGGCCAAGTTGGCTCTCCTCCCGAAGGAGGGCAAAGCACCGAGTAGTGCGTCGGCCTATAGGCCTGCTGGACGAGGCGGGCAAGATGCTAGAGCGCATCATCGTCCAGCATCTGTTCCTGAAGGGGCCAAACCTTCACGACAATCGGTACGGATTCAGGCCCGGACGATCCACGTTGGATGCAATCCAACACGTCCGGGGCCTGGTCCGTGGAGGAGGAGGGTGGGGTGTTGTTCGCGGTATCCTTGAATATCACAAATGTGTTCAACACCCAGCCCTGGCCGGAGATTGGACGGGCCCTCGGACACCACGAGGTGCCCGTCCACCTCCGGCGAATCCTATCGGCCTACTTCGGGGGCAGGGACCTTGCCTACTCGGGGAGAGGCGGGGTACAGGGCCGGCGCACTATGGAGCGCAGTGTCCCGCAGGAGTCGGTTCTCGGCCCCTTGCTATGGGACATCGCGTTCGATAAGGTGTTTCGCTCTCCCCTTCCTTCTGGCTGCCATGTCATTTGCTACGCGGATGACACTTTAGTGATGGAGGGGATGGCTGGGGGGAGGCCCGCCTCCGAGCGGAGGCGGCACTGGCGTCCGTGGTGGGGTCCATCAAGGACCTGAGTCTGAGGATGGCGCCCAGCAAGACAGAAGCCACGTTCTTTCATGATTGCAGTCGGGGGGCATCGCCGGAAACTCGGGTCCTGGTGGACGGTGTCCACGTCCGGGTCGGGCACATGATCAAGTATCTGGGCCTGACCTTGGACAGCCGATAGAATTTCAAGGCGCATTTCAGGCACCTATTCCTCCGGTTCCGTGGTGCAGGTCTGGCTTTAGCCAGAATCATGCAGACCCAAGGGAGACCTGGATGGCGGGCTCGCCGTATGTTGATGTGGTCCTCCCGATCGCCCTTTATGGGGCGCCCATATGAGCACCCCAGCTCATGGCTTCCGGCCACAGCATCCTCCTAATGCGCCAGGCGATGCGGCCGGTGGTACTGAGGGCTATTCGTGGGTGCCGCACCTTTTCATACATGACGGCGACTACCCTGGCCGACTCCCCCTCCCCGTGAAGCTCCTCGCATCAGAGTGGTGCTCGATTGGAGGATGCGCGAGCTCCGCGAGGAGGGAGAGGGATTATCGGCCAGGGGCCTGGCGGTCTTGAGATTCCAGGCCAGAGCCCGGGTCATGGAGCAATGGTCGGCCATTCTAGCCGATCCCTCCGGGTTCGGGCTCCGAACGGCCGAGGCTGTCCGCCCCTATCTGCCCGAGGTGGCGGACAGGAAGGGATGTGGACTCTCCTTTCAGCTGGTGCAAGTGCTGACAGAGCACGGGTGCTTCGATCGGTACCTGCACCGGATAGGAAAGGAACCCACCGCGAGATGCCACCACTGCCCGGAGGGCGAGGACATGGTGCAGCATACGTTAGGAACATGCCGAGCATGGGCCTAGCAGCGCCGTGTCCTCGCCCGGGCGGTGGGATGCCGAACGGGGGACCTCTCACTCCTGCGCATGGTGAAAGCGATATGCGGGAGTGAGAAGGTGTGGGAGGCGGCGACCTCCTTCTGTGAGGATGTTATGTCCCGGAAGGAAGCCGCCGAGTGGGAGCGACCTGGCAACCGCCGCAGGGAGCGGCGGGGCCGGAGGCGCTCCCCGAGGATGGGTAGCGGGCCCGAGGTGGCCCTTGACTCGTCGGGGACCTCCTCGGCTGCCTCGGGCCCGCCTCCGTACGCGCGGGGGAGGGCGACGGGTGTAAACCTGCCTTCCCCGCGCGTCAGAAAGGG